ATACAGTGTGTAATTTTCAACAGATTTTAGTTGGTTCGATTCCCGATGGTAAGCAAATTTTTGGAAATTTTTGAATGCAGTTCCATTTCTTTTAAAAACTAAAAGAACGTTTTCTTTAAAAAAATTATCTATCTACAGTATTAAGAGTACTTTCCCTCCAGGTACCATTACAAAATTCCACCCTGTATTTGTACTGTACGGGAATCGAACCCGCGACTCCAAACGGCCGACTGAATAAATGTTCAAGCCAATAAATAAATTATTTTTATCCAGCCTCCTCCGCGTGGTAGCGCGTGGCGGGCACCGCTACGTGCTCGGTCTGCAAGCCTTCGAAGGCGGCAAGGACATCTCCACCGAGATCACGGTGTGGGACGGCGTGGTCGTGTCTCCCCTCGCGCCGGCGTACCAAGACTCGCCTGAGCCGATGGACACGGATGATAAAGGTCAGTCTCCTCTGAGCTATTTTGTTTGCGAAGTAATGACCCATCATTTCAGCCACAGGACGTCCACTGCTGAACATAGGCCTTCCCCAATGCTTTCCATGTTACCCGGTTGGTAGCGGCCTGCGTCCAGCGCCTTCCTGCTACCTTTATGAGGTCGTCGGTCCACCTTGTGGGTGGACGTCCCACGCTGTTTTTGGGTACGTTGTCTCCACTCCAGAACCTTGCTGCCCCATCGGCCGTCAGTTCTGCGTATGTGCCCTGTCCACTACCACTTCAGCTTGCTAAGCCGTCGGACTATGTCAGCGACTTTAATTCGTTTCCATCCAAGTGACGATCCATTTATTATTTTCATTCTTACTTTGCTTGCATTTTTGTGATAACACATATGGCTAGTTGGTTCCATAATGATATACTTACCTTACACTTAGGCAAAGTTGCACCACCTTATTTTAACCATAAATATAACCCAGGTTCAACAGTTCAACTGGTTAATATCCACCATTAACCAGTTGAACTGTTGAACCCGACATAACTACTGTTTAACACGTCTTTTTTTTCCGGTTTTAAACTAAACATTATTTGTTACAGATGAAGATGGGCAAGATGGCGTCGCCGCTTAGTTTAAACTAGTTTTAAGACCATAGTTTATCTATGTACAACTATACTTCTCAAATAAACTTTCTAAGTTTTTATTTAAATTGGCTTTTATTTACTCACAGGATATCACCAAGGTGAAAAACAAAAGGCTGATGCGAACATGACATACACAACACATTAGGCGGTTATCACACTGCGCCGCGCTCCGCCGCGGAGCGCGGGACGACAGATTTAATCATTGTATGCAAGTACCTCAGTTTGTATAGAAAACACGCACGGCACTTCACACTTTTGAAGCCACGATAGCCGAACGGTGAAGGGGTCGGACTGGCCGACTCGTGATCCGGGGAACGCGGGTTCGGTCCCCGCCGCCGCTCGACTATTGTGGTGAGCTCACTCGTGACACAAGCATATTTAGCTTAGTACGAGGGGCTAACGGGAGTATTAGTAATTTGTGTAATAACAAATTACTAATAATCTTTTGTAAAAAAAAAAAAAAAAAAAAATGACAACGCGTGCGCGCGTGATTTTTTATATGAAAATCACGCGCTCCGCGGCGGAGCGCGGTGCAGTGTCATAACCGCCTTACACATTCATACTATTGAAATTTCGAATAAACTAGCAAATTATTGCAAGCGAGACAACTAGCAACGTTTCACTTTTCTTGATGTTTTGTGTTACTCTCACTAATGACCTAGGTGATGAAAAAATAAATTCCAGCTCCAATCAACTTCACAGAGAAAAATAAGACAGTAATACAATTAATAATAATAATATTTATTCAATACTTTCTTACAACCTTATTTTAGTCGCATACAAAAAATACATCGAGTCGCTATCCACATAATAGTCGATACTAAGTTTGTCCGTTGACATCGGAAACTATTTACAATTATTTTGTACCCCTCCATTGATTTTTTAAAGAATAAAATTACAAAATATCATTCTTCTCTTTGTCATTACACCCACTGATCACAAGAATTTGTTCTATAGTAGACCAATCACATTGAAGCAGTGCAATTTGAATAAAGGAATGACGGTTATAGTGCAACAAAGCTAAAATATTGGTAGGTGAGATTTAGAATCATTACCGAAGGAAGGAATTACATCCTACTTCCTACTAATTATAAATGCGAAAGTTTGGATGTTTGTTACTTTTTCACGCAAAAACTACTGAACGAATTTGATGAAACTACAGTATTGTTCCTTATAACCCAGAATAACATATAGGCTATAATTTATGACGATCTGTGACAAACAAAATTTCACGCGGGTGAAAAGATCAAATAAAATGATTGATGTAATTTTTACTTGCGAATTCTGTTTCCGTGATTTTAAGTTATGTACCTACTTATTAAAGACTTTATGAATCTTGTTGTAAAATATGATTTTAGACGTAGATTTTTTAGAAACCAATGACAAGTGACTATGTACACAACCATTAACTTTATATTATCTAAATTATGCTCGTTGTTGTCTCGTCCTCGATGATGAAAGATAACTAGTGTAGTCCCGGCTTACATCCTCTGGCGTCACACAATTTTAAAGCTAAAATAAAATATTTCTGAACGCAGTCGTACCTAGGTCCCACCACGCCATCTATACCTGTCAACTCATTCGGTTTTCCGTGTTTAATGGCGTCACGTTTGCGGTCGTGAAAAATTTGTTAATTAGAGTGTTTTTTGTACTGAATATTCGAAATTNATCGAAAATTGTCTTATTTGTCTTATCATATCATGTCATTGTCGATGCGCGCATCTTAGGCCTACAGATCTAAATGCATTGATCGCCATCGCTGCACGCCGGTTGATCGCGTTGGTTTGGCCGAACCTTAACGATAACCGGTGTTTTTGTATGGAGTTTGAAAGATTTTTGACGTTTGTCAAAGTTAAAGTAAGATAGTGCAACCCAGTCTTAAACCTGCTAATGACGATTTAAATGACATTTTAGTGGTTCAAATTAAGCTTGTAGAGATAATTAAGGGCGCAGAAAAAACATACTAGGATAGTTTTTATCCCGGTTTTGAAAGGGGAATACGAACGTGCGTGATAAAGTTTTTATGTTGCGGAACAAAATTAACAGGGGTGAAGCCGCGGGTAAAAGCTAGTCTCGTATACTTCAATTAGGTGCGATATTGCAAAGAAGTTGTGTAATGAAGTGGTAAGCTTATTACAAATTGCAAAATTGTTAAGTACCTACTTAGGTGCTAATTTATCAACATTGTTACTAAACTATCAGAAAGTCTCTACATAATAGAGGCAATATCAAATTCAGAGATTTCAAGAGATCTCAATCGATCGATTCGATCTATCCAAAGTTTTATCATCATCATCATTTCAGCCATAGGACGTCCACTGCTGAACATAGGCCTCCCCCAATGACTTCCACATCGCACGGCTGATAGCGGCCTGCATCCAGCGCTTTCCTGCTGCCTTTATCAGGTTATCCAAAGTTTATTGAGAATGTAATTTCTGAATTTTCACGTCAGAGTGATGGCGATGCGTATCAGAAATATTATGAATCACTGACGTCTGACATTACCTAGATCTGAGTGATTATAAGGTTTGTAAATATATTATGTAGATGAACTACGCTGATCTGTCCCACCAAACACATTGACAGGGGGCGCCACCGCGCCTCCATCGTCGTTGAACTATACATATAGTTTCCAAACGTGGCAAAAATCAGAACCAGCGATCCGGTATTGACGGTGGCGCCCCTCTGTCAATGTATGATCAACAAACTGTCACAGGATGGACAGTTTGTTGTAGTTCATCTATTTTTGAGGGTTTTCGCGATTGAAAAATCCGCCAGATGGCAATACGTAGACGGAAGGTCCAAATGCTGCATGATTGGTGGATTTTGACATATCTGTGAATGTCATGTCAAAAATAACCAATCATGCAGCATTTGGACCTCACGTCTACGTACGTATTGCCATCTGGCGGATTTTTCAATCGCGAAAACCCTCATTAGCCAGATTCAGAATAATATTATTTATCAAAATTAATTATTTTTAACCAATTACTCATGCAATACTATTCTACCTATTTTTATGGGCACCACACTACCTGAGAATGAAACTCTTGCGGTGATAAAGTATAAATTATATCGAGTTCTAATCATTATCGCATCAGCCCTACAAACGACCTCTACTACTCACCTATCTTTTAATTTTAAAGTACTTGAAAACAAAAACTAATTCAAAACAACTTGTAAAAGTAGCTGTCAATAATATTGATATCGCAAAGACGATAACCATTCGTCTAAAATTAGATAATTTACTTAATATAACCTCTACCAAGAATTGTATGTAAATTCTACCAAAATATTTACATTATTTATATCACAGCCAAAATAACCCCAAATAATCTAATCTCTTGTAGGTAACTAATATCAATTGGCAGTTATATTAAGAACCTAGAGTCCCTCTCTCTCTCTTATGTCAATTAGCTTGTGTTTAATTAGAACTAAGTGTCTCTACCACTATTTTAATATTAATCTGGTTTCTCAATATTTGTTGTTAGCTGACTTTATAAAGAACAAAATGTAGAGTCGCCTTTGCTAGTTACTTTTCTACCTCAATTGCGCGTAGTAGGAAATTAAGTTTTCTAATGCTTTACTAAAGAATTAGCTCCCAATAATACATTGTAAACAGTTTTCAAAGTTACTTTCCGTATGTTAACCATAAGTGCCAAATCTCGCTCAAAATTTAATAAAAACATTCTATTCCATCAGAGTAAATCTAAACAAAAAGCTATAAAACCTAAACGTAGCATTCAAACCCAAACGCATTCGCATCAACTCGGACGCGGAAGGGTTAACTCAATGTTACGCTACCGCATGAGTCAGCCAAGCGCGAGTCGTGCGCGCGCGCGTTCGCTCCGACGGCCCGATCGCAAGTGGCGCGGGGCGCGGGCGGGGCACCGCGGGAGGGGAGCCAAACAGCTGAGCGCGCCTCTATTGACAGTGGGGCGCGTGGTGCCGCGACGTTAGTATGCTCTCTGATCCCGCGGAGTGCGCACGTAGCCGCAACTTCACGCTTTATTATGCCACGATCGCCCCGCAGTACTAACTGAGCTGCGGTCGGGACCCGTTAAAATTATGACTTTTGGACCGATCGCCGGCGAAGAAGATAGCAGCAGACACCTCGTTCTAGAAGAGAAAGCTTTAAGAATAGTGTCCAGGTACTGGGAAGTCTCCGGTGCATCAGCCGCCGAAAGGCTCCGGTACGCGAACAAACTGCTGAGAGAACCATTCGGACTGCTATAAAACTTTAAATTTTTTTGAACACAAACAATTAGTGATTTTTTTGAGTGCAATACGTGAACTGTGTTTTTGTGTTTTGTTTTTTATTTTTTTGGGGTTTTGTATTTTTGGATATAAATGAAGATGGTGCCCCAACAAATATCGGATGTGAGATCGCTGTCGCCGACATCGAGCGGAGTGCCGGTGTTTGGTTCACAGCTGGTGGACAAAAATTCGTCCACACCATACACGGATGCTACACAGGTAAGTCCATGGTAGGCCAAAAAGTGTGAAAAATCCCCCAATAAAAATTCCGTGAAAAATTACAAAACTGAAACCCGAAAAATATTATTCGTCAAAACTGATCTGATAAAAATCCACCAAAATTATCTAAAACCGTGCCTAAAAAACCAAAAACAATATTAAAAAGTGATTTTAAAAAATCCAAATAAAATAATGTGAGCGTGGAGCCGATCCTAAATAAAAATCTTAAAATAAAATATTTATCAAAGTATATATTTACTTGAGTCAATAAAATTTCCAAAACTCAAAAAAGTAAGTCAGTGAGGTTAATAGAAAAAAAAATGAACTATGGGACAAGTTGTAAATAAATAAAATAAATTCTAAATGTAATAAAATATTTTAAAGGTTAATGTCCATTACAACCTAAACTCAAAACAAACATAACAAACAAAAATAAAAGTCAAAACAAGGTTGTAAAATAAAAAGATGAAAATTAAATAGTAGTTCATATTAAAAGTGAGCATCACAACTCGTAAGTTAATAATCGCATGAAATCATCTGTCTCGAATAATCTGCGATAACCGGCGTAATCTAAATAAACAATTGCAAAAATAATAATAATAAATGCATGCATCAACTTCCACACTTATCAAAATCGCGTAAAAATATTCGCAATAGCAACGCGAATTATTTAATCCAAAACGCGAACGTTAAATAAAATAAGGCGTAATAGTGTTATCTTCAAAAAACAATCGTCATATGCCTAAAAGTAATACGTAAACATGTTTTCATAAATGCCAACGCCTAGACTCGTTAAAGAAACCACAATGAGATGTTTCCTTGGCCAAGTGATAATAGAAACAATGTCCTCACATTGCGGAAAAACATTAATAAAACTCTTGATTTAATTTGCATTGAGTAATTTGTCTCCATTATTCTAGATTGCAAAAAAGGGCCAGTTTATTATCCTGCCTGTAATCGTGCATTGGCTAACATTGCTATTAAACAGACAGAGAAATTCAATACACCCAATAAACGGGTTACTAACGAGGGATAATGGCTCAGGAACATGCGATCGAATGCACTGGGGAGCTCGGAAAAAATTTAAGTCCCACGAGGAGCGTGCGATCTGATTCTTCAAAGTTTACTGCCCATAAAAGTTACGGCAACGAAATCAGAATCTCTAATTAAATGTTTTAATCTTAATGAAAGACGTAAAATAGAGACTAAAGTGCGGAAAGACGTTAAAAATTATACGGGCGTTAAACTAAAATAGGACTTGAATTTTTCCAAAGACTAATCCGTTAGTGAAACGTGGTTGAGACTGAATTTCATACGCGCAGCACTAACTGGTGAATTAAAATAACTAAAAAATACAGCTAAATTGTAACAGGATGTGAATATTAATTGGAACGGTTTTATCTGGATTTATAAATGTGAAATAGAATTTTAAATTGTGCAACAAATATCAGTGCTTCAAGTCACGTACGATCGAACTAAAAAATCAGGGAATGCCCGGCACTCAAATTTATCACAATCGAAAATAATGTGCCAGGCGTCGAGTTAATTTAGTGTCCGTAAAACGAAAAGGATCAGCACTTAAACAGTTAACGTACCATAAAATGTGGAAGCTGATAGTAATGAATAAAACAAACGGGCAAATTTCAAAGTGGGCAAAGATAAATTGACTGCAGCCTGACGCTAACATCCCGAGAGCAACGACACTCGCAACGATTTCCATTAAATAACGAATTAAACACGATTCAACAGTCGATTCTGTTCGAAAATGAAACTTTACCAGTCAAAACAATCGATAAAGTAAAAAGGAACTCGAGTTTTATTAGTCTTGAACGAAATATCCGTAAAATGCCACGCCGTACCCCGAGAGTGCATTAACATTTCAATGTCAACCCGCAATATTTTTAGTCATCTTCTCTGTGTGAGTGGCCTTTCGTGTGTACGCTGTCGACATGTGCGTTTCTGTATCATTATGCTTGTGAGCCTGACAACTACTAGGAAACGATAATCTTAGGTCATTCGCGCCGGTGACTATAAACAAAATCTTCAGCGAAATGCTTAATCATCCTCTTTAACTCCCATAAAAACAGCGGAAAATGTTACAGTTGACGTTATGAGGAAACAATAACATTTGTATCGTTTACATCATTACAGTATAAACTGCAATTATCGAGTCACGAGACGATTAAAATGTTAAGATTGAGAAATCTACGGCGTATAACAGGAACGAGCGAGCCGTGTAAAAAATAACAAAATTAAGTAAGGGCGGAGTTTCAGATCATTGTAATCTCGACGGCGAGCAAACTGCGGACTTAGTTTTTGTTGCGTTTTTTATGTCGTACACATAGCCGGGTTGTTGCCAAGTCGCTATACTGTTCGACCCAAGGTTGCCCACACCTCTGTACCTTTATGCTAGAATAATTGTCCGTTCTCCAAACCGATTGTTAGATTATACGTTGGAGTCTGAAAAACGCGGTACGCTTGCTTTTAATTTACTTTAAACACTTCCTAGAAAGAAAAGGCTCTTTGTACAAGTCTAAAGGCAACTTTTCTTTCGTGTTTGTCTACTATAATGTTGGTTTTCTTACAACTGTTACTCACGGAACGTTTGTTTGGGAATTTGAAGAATTCTCACTATCCTCCCGCTTAGAGTTTTGATTGAGTCCCTCGGGGATTATAAGTTGGAATTGATACGTAACTTCTAACTGAACTGGAATAATGTTTGGACGGTAATAAATTAACATTTAATGCTCCTGGTTACCTTTCTGAAACAATTTCGTGTAGAACCTTTCCTCGCAAGTTTATCGCTTAAGTAAGCAAATTTATGTACCCTAATGCAGCCTGAGCAAATCAACATTTGATTGTAAAATACGTACCCATGTCGGCAAATGCAATTTGCTCTACACTAGTGGGTGTTGTTTTAATGGCGCTATTATGCTTCTGAGTCGAATGTTGCCCGAGAAAATTACCGCGTATAGATAAACACGGTACGCGTATTTACAACAAAAATTAGTAGAATCACGCTTATGGAGTGGAACAACAAACTCCGTGGGAGATTCTCGAAGTGTTCAATGAAATTGTGTGTTTGAAAACTGTGTTCTCTCAAATTAGACGTTGCTTGTTTGAAGCGGAAGGAGTTAATACCGTTTCTGACTAGTCGCTGATGATTTCATTATGATACTCAATAATGTAAATTCACTTTGCATCCTTTGTCGAATTTGCTTAGAAATGTATTATCGGGCCAATAATTGGCCCGATAATTAGATTTCTAATTTACAATTATTGTAATGAAATCGTTTTATTGGAACTTTGGAAGTTTAACACATTTAGTGGAATATTTAAATCCTTTAAACCTTAGGCATGAATATGTATGTATCTAGAATATTAAGCTGCGTGTATAATCTATTAACCTGAGCTAAGCTTCAAACTGTTTACCTGTGGTATGCTAAACGTATAATAGCAAGGGAAATTAGACAGTCCAAGTTCCGTTAGTCTGGTCGTTTACTTCATTACTCCAATATTGTGTACTTGCACCTCGAGCCTCGAGCTAAGTTACCACAGAACTTCTAACTCGAAACTCCAAGCATGACATGTGAAAACAGAAAGTCTGCACTGCAAATAGCTATAAATTTGGCCCCACTACGTTGACAGGGCGAAAATCGCAACGACCAACTTCAACGTTTGAACAACAAAAATAAAACATATATCTTTCACTTGAATATTCTCGGTAAGGTTCATGCTTTTGTTTTGCACGAAGCTTCGTTCGAAAAACTGTTTGTCTTTATGAACTTACATCGTTATTTTTTGCTATCTTTCAGATCGATTACATGTTTAAGGATAATTCGTTTCATCTTATTTTTATGTGCAAACCGGTTATGATTTATTGGACCCATTTTAGTTTTTGCAACTTGAAACGCCTGGTAAGGACCTAAATGAATTACCACAAAAAGTATAATGAAAAAATTCTTAAGGTCAAGACCGCTGCATTGGGTGAAGACTGAACATGAGTAATATCTGCCTAAAAAGGTAGATTTTTTTAGGTTATTTATCAAAATAACCTCATCAGCGCATACCCTATTTACCGAATTTTGTATGGTGATTGGATCCTCAAAAAGTTTGCCACTTCCACGCAATCTCGTAAACCCCCAGGTTGATTAGGTGTTTTAGTCGAAGCAACTTTATTGTACAAGTTTGATTGGAAAGTAATGGAGGCCCGTGGGGGCATAAAACTAACATTATCAGTTTTGGCCGAGTTGCTAACAATACTTTGTAGATTAAATTGGTGATGTTGTTTGCAAGTTGTTTGCCCGTGACATTAGGATCAGACTTATAAATATTATTTTTAACTCTATCACTTTCATGAAGTATTATAGCTACTTTGTACGAATTATCATTGATCAAATTCATGTTTCTACAGCTAAAATCGGTCCATTTCTCAAAAGTCAATTTGATAGCGACTTTATGCTCATTCTCCATCTACGGATATCATGGCCGTTAATCTCCGAAGATGGGGTCTTTTTTAAAATTTAACCTCTCATATCAGCAAGTAGGTCAACTTTACTGTACCTAGCGTTATGGCTCCGAGCGTTCCGTTTTCTCATTTCTGAACGGAACACTAAAAACGATAAAATTTATGACTGGCTTTTAAAAAGGACGACATTCGATCCCGGTTGCTTTCGAAAAGAAATTTCTCTTTTGTTAAGGCTACCGTTTCGTCTGTGCATATTCCACCTCGGATCTCACTCCCTGATTTTATGGCGAATTACTGAAGCTCAGTTAAATTTCGACGATCAGATTCACTTTAATAGCTCTGCCCGTCTTCCATCATACTCGCCGAAGTCATTTCCCTTTTGTGTTAACTTGAAACCTCAAGCGAACAATGTTCCAAACCAGTTTTTACGAATAAATCCGTGATTTTATGTTTGATGCACAAAGGCCTAAACTTATTCCGGCTTTAAAACTAAATCGGCTAAGTCGAGCGTGCATTATCGACAATGACCTTT